TAAAAGTGTGCCTGCCATATCTCGCACTATCACCCCAGGTCGTTGCTCCAAGGGGTAGGTGGATTTTCAACTAACGCTATTTTAGGCCTTCGGGCCCCTTTTTTTTTCGCGGACGCTGTTCTTGGAGAAAAATTCACTGAATATGAGAGCCGTTTGTCTAGAGAATTACATTTTATTGTATACTACTCAAGTGTTTTCTTTTTCTTATCTTGTCTATATTATGGCATTCTATATTGACGCATAAGTTTAGTAGTTCTTTTCCGGGAGTGTTTTAGATTCCCATATATTACTTACTCGTTCGGATGCTGCTGGAGAAGATTCTTCCCATTCGACTTTCTTTGGTCCAACATGTCTTGGTTCAAAGTTTTGGAAGGTTTCCAAGACTTCCTCTTCGTCGCCGTCCTCGAATAGCGCGATCCCGTCGGAAGGTTCTAGATATGGTAAGCGTGTACGTCGGAAGATTAGGTTGTGAATGAGCATTCGAACACTCGTGTGGATTACATCCGGACTAAGTGTGATGTAGGAACTGGTCAGATGATAGCCCATGCGCTCCGTGTGCTGGATGACCTGCTGGGTGATGGACGTCATCAGCAGGTCAGCCGCCCCGTTAGCGATTTTCGTCGTTGTGAAGAACGCCGCGCGTTCGTTGGTTTGGTAGCACTGCCAGAACGTCGAGGAGAGCTGGCGGGTGAGGTCGCGGCGGATGGCCTGGGTGAGGCCGCGGAGCTGAAAGCCATCCGCGCCGTAGGTGATCGTCAGGGCGTGGCGCTTCACCCCCTGGTCGTGCTGCAGGTGATCGCAGAGCTGCACGACGCAGGCGTCCGGGAGGATCACCCTGTCCTGCTCCTCCCCCTCTCCCTCTCCCTCCTCCTCCGCTTCTTCTTTCACCGGCGGGAAGGCGTGCGGGATCAGCCCCCAGCGGTCCAGATGAACCACCAGGTCGGACCGCAGGGCGTCGTTGTGGGTGGGGAGGCACATCCGGTTCGTCCGCAGGAAGCTCAGGACAAGGTCGAAGACATCGGGGTTGACGTCCAGAAAGACGGCGTCGGTGAGGACGGGGGGCCCGTCCGGGTTGGGGTTCGGGACCGGGACCGTCGGGGTGGGGGGGTCCGGCGCGAAGAACTTCGCGAAGGGGGTCTCCGGGAAACGCAACAGCGTCGAGCGATAGGCCTGGAAGACCCGCCCGCCCGCGTTCACGGTGATGATTCGATTCATTGGACCGACACACTGCGCGGTACCACGGCTACGACTAAAACGAGGCTATTCAGGCTGAAAAAAAGAAATAGGGTCAATGAGAGAGTCCAGTAAGATGGTCACCGGGAAAGAGAAGAGCATCTATCGCTTATATATATATATATAGATATATTGGGGCAGTTCTACCAGAAATGATGGCTTTATAGCTAAAGGGTTCACGTTTTCCTTTTTTATTTTTTCATCTTCGAGCGAGTGAAGGGATAGGTGAACTACCACCCACCCAAGCTATCCAACGCACTGGGAAAGCCACGGGAGCTGAAGAAGTTGAGTGGTAGACAGCCTCTCCGCGGGTTCCCACGACAGACACCCGCAAATAAATTCAATGGCCGCTTCACTGACACCGGGGAGGAACGCCTTGAAGTGGGCCCGCAAATTTAAAGTCTTGGCGTTATTTAGGGAATCGAGGATATCCCAAAAAGTTGGCTTCTCACGAGTGAGAAAAGGATGCTTGCCCCCACTTAACAACATGCAAACAACAATTCCCACAGACCACACATCCACGCTAAAATCTGCTGTCTCCACACGATGCGCTAATGCTTCTGGCGCCGCGAAGAGAAAGGTTCCGTGAAAACACTTTGGTAAGATTCCTGCAGGGGAGCAGGCCTCTAAATCCCCAAGGCGGGTAATAAAATGGGACCTTTCTTCTTCACCTCCTCCTTCTCCTCGATCTTCATAGTTTTCTGCGACTTTGCCCGGGTTGGATAACACCAAAATATTTGCGAGGCTCACATCCCCGTGGACCAACCCTACCTCAACGTGCAAAAAACGAAGGGCCTCGACTAATTGTCGAGCAACCCTCCCACACACCACTTCCTTTTTAAAGGCTTTGTTTTTTATCAAATCCAGGAGTGAATCCTCAACCCATTCCATCAACCACTGGTAGTGATGAGTATCCATCACCCGAAGGGCGTAATAAAGCAAAAGATACGGACAGGCATCCGCTTCACCGCCTTCACGGCGCTTTGCTTGGATCTGCCGAATAACGCGCGAAGATTCAGTCACATCCGTCAAGCAGTCTTCTCGCCATAAAACGACCTCTTTGTAGGCTACCACAAGATTGCGCACTTTCCAGAATATGCGCTGTACGCGGCTGCAGGAGCCTCTTCTTACAGCCCTTCGAGTTTGACGAGGATTAGTAGTATTAGTATTATTATTATCCAATATGGGGACCCTACAATCAAATTCAATATCACTTTCTTGAAAGCAGACCAATTCCTGCATGCTATTTTCCTCCATTGCAATGTCCGGGACTAAACTTCTTCTTCCCCCTTTCTTAAAAAACTCTGCGTGGTTTTTGTTGTTCTTGGTCCTTAAAACCTATAATCATTTTCTTTTTTTGGGGGTTGTATTATTAGATTAAAGAAGTTAACTGATACGCGGACCTTTTTTTTGTCAACACTTTTTGAACATTAGTATACTATTATATACGTAATTCATAAAAAAAAAAAAACAGTTCACAGGGCGAAATCCTCGCGTTGATTTGTCCGTTTCAGACCTACTTTTTCACCTTCGGTTGGTTTACAGCGACGCTCGCGAGGATTTCCGCGGGAGTCGGCAGGAGCGGCCTCGGACCTCCTTTTTCTTTAATCAGTGCCGCCACCCGTTTGAGGACCGCATGCTTCGATTCCAACCCCACCACGGTTGGGTTTCGCGTTTGCTGATCAAACTCGCTTTTTTTGATATAATGTACGTCCGTGGGCTCCTTTAGGAGGACTTTCACCGCGCCGTAGGGGACGATCGCGAACCGCATCGAGCCCTGCGAGCGCGGCAGGGACTTCCGCGCCATAATCACAATCTTTTGAAAGCCGAGCTCATGCAGCGCGGTGGCGATTTCCTCGACGGAGGGGTTGACGACGGCCTGGGCCTTCGTCAGGCGCCGGCCCTCCTTCGGCGTGAGGCCGGCGTCGAGGTACTGCGGGTAAATCGTCTGCATCGCCTTCATCTCGGCCGCCGTGAAGGGCAAGACCGAGGAAGGGGAAGGGCTCGCGTGCATGGGCTCCAGGCGCGACCCGCGATGTGGAAAGAACAGGGAAGAACTAAATTGGGAATCGATGGAAGCGCGAGGGAAAGTCGCAGGGAATCTGGGATGCCGCTCAATGGTGTGCTAAACTACACCAAAGAAAAATAAAAAAGGAATAGAGAGAGAAAAAAAAGGTAGGAACCAAAGAACGTTGGGTGATTTATAAACGCGCATTAGTGACACTAAAGGAGCGTTCAAAGAACTAGATTCTAGCCACCATAGTGAAATAGCCTGATTGCATGAACACAACTCCTTTTTCATATGAATAATATAAGCATAACGGTAATATTCTGTAAACGTAAGGATACAGATAAATTGATCCACAACAAGCACCACTATAGACAAATCCTTCCAGTCCCCCTAATGATCCTAGTTTGGGTTTTAAATACTCGTTGTACACGCGTGGAGGATAGCCGAATGATTGGGGCCGGATCCTCAAAAGGGACCATAAAAAATCTCCAATTGCCTCCTTTTTTTATCCAACCCCACTATGAATCGTCATAGTAACGATAGAGATCGCTATATGAGATAGAATATATCGATATAATTTCACAACATCACGGTTGTAATTTCTTCACTGTTATCTGGATTAAACTTCTCTCTTATTCGTAGGTGGCTGAGGCCTGCTTTTTCTGAGGCTTCAAAAAACCGCGTGATTGCCGCATGGGTTTCCACGGTGAACACCTCCTCCTGCGGACGAGGGCCAAGAATATTTTCAATATCCTCCCGAAGAAGTTCCTTCTTCTTAAACAATTCCTCGGAAAGCCGTAAAAGCACGTCCTTATGCCGGAAAAGTAAGGATCTCGTGAAGTCGCTCGCAGCGGCAATGAAGCGCGCGGCCTCCGCTTCCACCATCTTTTGCATTTCCTCCGAGTGCTTTTGGAAGGCCCGTCCCTCACGAAAGCGTTGGGGTTCGAAGGAAAGCAGTCCGACGTTTTGCGGCGAGATGCCGAAGGAAAGAAACGCCTCCACGGCGATCCGCGTGGCGTGCTGAAAGTCGTCTTCAGCGGTCGTCGTGAGCTCGTGGTAGACAATCCCCTCCGCTAGACGCCCCGCAAGCCTCACGCAGAGGTCTGTAAAAAGCGAAATCTCCGTCGTAAAGTCGAGGCTTTCTCGACCGAGTTGCTGGGTGAAGCCTTTGCCCACCCCTGCCCGAGGGATGATCGAGACCTTCACGACCGCGTTTTGCGCCGGCAAAGACCACGCAATAAATGCTCGCCCGCTCTCGTATAATGCCATCCGCATTTCATCGGCTTTTGCAAGCCGACTTCGATAGCGCTTGCCGATTAAAATGTCGTCGACGGCGGGGAGCAGATCGACGAGGTCGACCGCTGCGCGGTCCTCGACGGTGGCGCGTAGGGCGGCCTCGTTCACAATCGCGGCGATCGCGGCGGGGGAAGCCCCCGGCGTGAGCTCCGCGAGTCGCCCCGCGAGTATTTCCTCTTTTACTTCGCCGTCCTTCCCTTTCACGACGACTTTGCGGAGGTAATGCGCGAAGAGGGCCACACGCTCTTCGCGGTCCGGCAGCGCAATGTGGACCTTCCGGTCGAAGCGCCCGGCACGGAGGAGGGCCGGATCAAGTCGCTCGACGAAGTTCGTTGCCGCGAAGACGATGACGGCCGATTTGGTCGGCATCCCGTCGAGCTCCGAGAGGAGCTGGTTCACCGTGCGGTTCTCTTCTGCACCGAGGCCGAGTGGGCCTGCTCCCCCACCGCGCGCGCCCACGGCATCGATCTCGTCGATGAACACGACCGACGGCGCGGCGGCCCTCGCGGCCGCAAAGAGCTCCCGCACCCGCCGCGGCCCCGAGCCTGCGTAGACTTCAATGAAGTCAGCACCGGAGCACGCGAAGAAGGGCGCCCCGGCCTCGCCAGCGGCCGCGCGTGCGAGCAGTGTCTTCCCTGTCCCAGGCGGGCCCGTCAGCAGGCAGCCACGCGGCGGGCGGGCGCCAAGCCGGCTCGCCCTCGCGGGGTTGCGCAGGAAAGCGATGAGCGGATCCACCTCCGCGCGCGCCTCCTCGAGGCCGACGACGTCGGCGAAGGTCGTCCCTCCCGGGGATGCGCGGAAGTCGCGCGGGGGGAGGCCGACCGCCCGCTCCGCCGCCTCGCGCACGCGG